CTCTAATTTCTAACCCTAACCCTAACAAATCTTAGGACTGGTGATGATCACCACCGGTGATATGTAGTAATTTTCTATTTATTAATTATATAATTAATTAAAAAAATTTAAGCCAAAATCAAAGATTTTTAAAATTATCTCAAACTATAATTCTATTAGCATTGGTAATTGAATGTTAGAATAATTTTTATCTGGTGATTAATTCTGATTGGTTAAAAAGTATTAGAATATCGATTAATATGTCATTTAAGCTTTGAAATGAACAATAGATAGTCATTTAATATGGACCATCTGAGTTAAATAATTTCAGGTCATCTACCATCATTGCTAACTTCAATATGAAGATTATATGAGTAAAATTCGGCTTGAATAATTCGCCAATACATACGTGCCTAAATTACCCATCTTAATATGGCATTTAGTCAGCAGAAATTAGTCTTTATAATTACAAATTTAATTTTATATTTTCCCGAAATTATTACAGAAATTTTTTGTAGCTCTAATTAAAATAATCGTTTATATAGTATATAGTAGAATTATTTCGGTGGATTTCGTGTAGCAATACCGAAATGTTTGCTAAAAATAGTTTTTTTTTTTAAAATAATTTCTATATTTATGTAAAATTTGAATTTTATAATAAACCTAGAGAATCCAGAATAATCCTAGAATAATACTGGAATAATAATCCCAGAATAATAATCTCAGAATGATGATCCTTCTTAGAATAATAATCTTAGAATACGACACGCATGCATTTAGAATAAAATACGTTACCGTTATCAACTACATATAAGAGATAAAATTAAAAATTCTTAAATAACAACTTGTCATGAAAAGTTTGTGATTGGATCAAAATCAGATGCTACTGTTGTAAGTAAATTATCATGCATGTTTGCGTTACATACAGATAAAAATCGATGACTTATTAGTTAAACCGATCTAATAAAAAAAATAAAAAAATAAATTATTAATGCAATTATACGTAATTAAATGTGGGGAATAACATAAATATAACATAAATACCAACTTTCTTTTCTAAAGACTTTTTACAAGGAACGTTTATTACAGTATATATAGTTACTATTATACGATTCTGTAAAAATCTATAAATAACCGGTAATTATAAATAGATTTGTTCATATGAACAATAAAAAAGTGAATAAATAATGGATAAATAAATAAATAAATGATTTTAATTTGAATTACTGGCTTATTGAAAAAAATATATATAATTTAAATTCTTTTTTAAATTTGTGTAAAATTTTTTGTCATTATGAATTTGTGTTTATGAATCTGTTATTTGACATATAATATGATACAGAATATTAAATTCGATATGTTTTTTTTGTTTCAAAAATAGATTTTTATAACTTGGTTAGACATAATTACTGTAGAAGTAAACAATAATAAAGTCGAAAATTTTTCCAGGAATAAAAACCATGATTAATGTATTTACCTATACATGCAAAAAATTTACAAAAAAGGTAAATTAACATTGTTTCATAAGGTAACATACTGTATATATCTACTTGCACATATCTACTGTATGTATCTATTGTACGTACGTACCTTCTATAGGTTTTTTCTAATCTGTAGTCAAAATTATAGGTAGCTTTTTAAGGACACGTGGAGATAGGACAACGTAGATCAGAAATGCACTGTTTACCTTAAAAGGAAAATGAGTTAACAACAAACATGTACAGAAAAAATAGTTGTTTTCTACAATTAAATTAATTAAATTGTACGTTTACAACGTTATTTATGCGAATAATTATTAATAATACTAACCAAAAACAGGGACACAAACCGAGAGTTCTCTCAAGTTACAAACGGTAAAAGCCTATTGTGTGACAGTTTTATATCTTTATTTTTGAGAAGCGGCTGTTTCGAAAATCACGTCGGAGATCAAAACTTGTCAATCTATTGCATTGAAATATTAAATCAAACGTTAGTTGACGCATGTGACGCATTTGTGCATGTGACTCAAGGAAAGCTATAAATAAACGCATTTTATTTGCCTTTTTTGTGATACTTCATTATGGGCCGTAACAGGTTAGACGAAATGTCGTGTTTAACATCATTTAGAAGTTGTGTAATAGCAAAATGGTTGACCTTATCTAACCATAATAGCATTAATGATAAGAAGGTTGTGTTAATCTTTGTCGTTAAGGATTCTAATAAAATTGTGGACTCGTATTTAAGTCGATGAAAATATCCGAATTATCTAGATAACAATATCCCTTTTTTTTTTTCTTTTTTTTCCTTTTTTTTTATTTTTTTTTTATCACACGTCCTATTAATAGATTATTGTTCAATCTTTGACTTGTGTGATGAACACAAGAATTTGGTCGGAATTCCATTTGACAAGTACTTAACAATATGGGAGAGTAATTGATCTTTTTTGGCATAGTTGTATGCACTGTTGCCGAAGGCTGTGACTTCTAATTTGATTGATATTATGCCAACTGGTATATTTAGAATCAAACTTATTCGTTTATTTGGGATTTTAATTTTTTTTTTTTTATATTACAAGTTTTTTTAGATTACACGCATGTATACTGTAAACTTGTGATGTTTCGCATGATTTTTTTAATACAAAAATGGCTTATGCTAGATAATCCTGGTACGTACGTACGTACGTACGTATGATATGTAATCAAGTGCTTATTTCCATATTTCAATTCCGATTATTATCTTTATTTTTGAGAAGCGGCTGTTTCGAAAATCACGTCGGAGATCAAAACTTGTCAATCTATTGCATTGAAATA